TATATATATATATATATGATAGTGAAATCAAATTGACCTTTAATATTAAGAAAAATCTTCACTACTCATATTATGGCAATGTTTATCTCAATTTAAAGATAAATTAATAGGTAATTTGCACTTACTAGATTTTTGCAGCCTGATGGAAGTTGAGAATTCAAGGCTATTAGTGGCTTATTTCTTGATTTTCTATGTCTTGCACAGTTTTCACACTCATTGAGAGAGATACAACACGGCGCTACAAGAAAATTTACCTTTTGTAACGAGCAACAAACATTGTCATAGTTATTTTGTAACGTGCATATGCATGGTTTTCGATGTTGTAGTAGTGTAGGTGGATACGACAACCGATAATGCACGTTGTTAAAGATTTAAATATATGTTTCTTTACCATTCTAGATAAACATAAATAAATAAAAATATTTTGTTTAAACAATTTTTAGATGAAGTAGTTTGATATACATTAGAAAGTCTTCTGTTAAACTCTCTATACCACTTGTAAGTTTCAGGTTTTTGTAGTTCTTTATAAAGGAAAATTTTAGATGACTCAATTCAAAGAATGTATTGAAAAAATAAAAAATGATAGTGATTCCAAGAATACTGGAAATACTCCAATGTGCAATGCATCTATGATTTATCTATGGTATTCACTAATGTATTGAGATTCTATATGTATAATATGCTCTTCATAGATAAAGAGTCTTCTGGAGATATTTTAAACAAAGTAAATAAATTTATTTGTAAAAAATAAATTTTTTCTGATCTTTTCTCAGAAATCCAAAATCTAAGCCTTGGTTTGGTTTATAAATTACTTATAGATGGTCAAATTTTATTTTTAATTACACTTTAATTGATTCGCGACTACTATTCACTTATTTCCATCTCATGTCTATATTTTTGTAAATTAAATAGTTATAAATTCTTCACAAATGGAAGCGAAATGAATACCCAATGATCTATATTTAATTTTCAAATTTAAAAACTTTTGGTATCACCTATTAAAAATATAATGTAAATAAATTAGTTTGTGTTATCAGTAGGAGTTAAACATTTAAAGGCGCTTAACATGATACTAGAGCAAGTAAAAATTATGAAGTCTTGTCAAACATCGACTTATGAATATGTGAAAAATGTGTGCTCAATAAATTCTTAAACAGGTCAAGTTTATAAGAAAAAACAACTACAATCTTCACGTGACAAAACATGTTGATGTCCTGAAGATAAATCCAAATTAATAAGTATTTTTCTTGATTGCGCTTAAGCTTTTAGACAACATGAAATTCGATCCCTTACAAGAATCTTTTTCTAGTAAACAAGATAGGTAAAATTTATGGCCAAAATATCATAGTTCAGAATTAGGACCACCTAACTGTGTATATATACACCCCACAATTTGTCTCCCAAATGAAATTCTCAGACAACACAAAATAAATAAATAAAAATGCAAATCCCTTCAGCCCTTTATGTTCTTCCTCCTTTAGCAATCTTCATTTTGACCATCAGAAACGTGTTCCAATTCCTTCATCGGTCTATTATGTTCAAAACTATTTGTCAAATAGCTTCCCAGTTGAAATGGGCTTGGGATTTCCTTCTTCACCAGTCCTTCTTTCAGCAGTATTCCGGTGTCAACATGCTGCAAAATCTTGATGAATTCAGTGGAACGCGTATCGGGCCGCAAAATATGACTGATTCTATGGATCCAGTGGAATGTTCAATTTGCCTATGTAATATTGATGAAGAAGATGAAGTTAGAGAGCTGATTAATTGCAAACATGTTTTCCACAGAGTTTGTTTGGATAGGTGGGTTGGATATGGGCACTGGACATGCCCTTTATGTCGGAATTATTTGAAGATTCCTAGAATCGCTGCTGAGGTTTATGAACAAGAAATATTAGTGTTTGATTTCTGTTCTGTTAGATCAAGCAATCGCTGCACATGGTGGCTACGTTAATGTTGTAGTGCACGTTTGGTACGTCGTATTAAATATGATTAGCAATGCTTATTTGTGAAATGCTGCAATCCTTGTTAGTAAAGATGTTAATATTTTGTATCCGGGTCTAATATGAAATAATTTGAATATAAATATATTCCTATTCAATCATCTGTTTTATTTGCCACTTGATAGGAACATTCACTGCGAAGAAGAAAAAGAAAACATACACAAAGAAAAGCTTGAAAGTTTTGAAATTCTAGTTTGGTTGACACAATTTCCACCAATGTTTACAAAATACTATATACAAATGCTTTAATTACTCCTCTTAACGAGGATAACTTTTTATTATGAAACTTCAATGTTCAATATGATTTCGAACTAAAAAATAACAAACTAGAACAAACAATTTGATCAATCTAAATCTCAAATGAGCAATATAATTCTAAGATTATTAATCACAAATGAAACACAAGATTAAAGTGACATGTCAAATAGTAAAATTTCGTGTTAATTTTAGAGTGCGCTTAAAAAGTTCATTGGTTCCTTTCTCTAGCTCTGCTTTATTGCCTCTTGGCTAGCTATTAAAGATGAAATAAATAATTGATATAACACTCGAGTTACTCATCTTGACAGAATTGACATTTTAAAATTAAAGTGTGATCAATAATCAAACTAGGAACCAACATAGATTGGTATATATTAATACACGTNTGACAGAATTGACATTTTAAAATTAAAGTGTGATCAATAATCAAACTAGGAACCAACATAGATTGGTATATATTAATACACGTGTCAACCCAAGCACACAATCATATACCAAGCTTTGCACTAAGCACGAATGGTTTCGGAGTTGATTGCTGGCCGAAAGGGCAAAATGTTGCTTTAATGCGTTAAATGTTTTCAATTAACTCAATATATTTTGGCTCTAATCAATCATGATTTGACATTTTTTTCCACATGAAGCCACATATTTAATTTTAATTGCAATTATAAAGAAAATGATTGAGGATTTGCTCAGATAGTTTCCATCGTTGATACATAATTGAACATATCTTCGTTGATAGTTATGACTAATTTGGAAGCTTTGAGACGATAATTAAAATAGATCTTCGTTGAAATACTAATTTGGAAGCTTTGAGATGATACTGAAAAATCTTTGTTGAAAGACTAATGCGGAAGCTTTGAGACGATACTGAAAACAGATCTTCGTTGAAAGATCGTTGAAATACTAATTTGAAAGTTTTGAGACGATACTGAAAACAGATCTTTGTTAAAAGACTAATTCGGAAGCTTTGAGACGATATTGAAAACAAATATTCGTTGAAAGACTAATTTGGAAGTTTTGAGATGATATTGAAAACATAACTTTGTTGATAGATATGACTAATTTGGAAGCTTCAAGCAAATATCATTAACACACCTTGACACTTTTTAGCAAATACAGTGATAGATGATCTTAAAATTTGTTAGAATCGATCTCTTGTCCACTTTCCCGATTATCTATATGTTGCCTGCAAAATAATAGCTCATTAGAGGTGAAGGCCACCATTTCAGAGAAAGGTTTGGCAACTGCTTGTCCTCTGACATCAAGTTACATGTTGGAGTAAAATATAAAATGACTAGGTGCAAGGGAGATAAGTGAAATGGATTTATCTATGCACTAGCCCATGAGATATTGCCATGGAATTTTGATTGACATGATATGGTCCGGTCCAATTAAGTTAACCTCATCAAGTCTGTTAAAACTAATAAATTGGACCCCATCTTGTCACAAGTATGCCTCGAAGATATAGGTTTTATAATAGTCCTTCAAGCAAGAAGTTCGTTGAATTTTTTGGATATTGTAAGACTCGTGATGAACCTTCTAAATATAAGATCTTGTCAAAAAGCAGAATATCAAACTTTAAAAAAATCACGTGCAGAGACAAAGATTTCACTATATCACTATATCAAAAATAAGGATTATAATATGTTGGATCCTTGGACTAAACTAATAAGTTGGACAATTGATCAAACTTAATATGTGTTGTACATTACATATTTATAGGGAAATAATCTAATGGGCATCGATTCTTAGCTTATATTAAGTACTGATAACATGTCGCAACAATTAATTAATGAATATATTAATTGTAGGTCCATGAATTTAATAATTTACAATTAATTATTATAACATGTCACCGGTACTTAATATAGGCTAAGCATCGATGCCCATTAAATCATTTCCCATGTTAATAACCAAAGAATCCTTAACACATTAGGAGAATATAAAACAATAAAAAGTCTAATATAAGATGGAACGCTAATATAATAGGCCTAACAAATAATAAACTATCATAATCACTAAACCTTCTCCTAATTCATTTTGGATTCCTTTAAAAATTTTCAAGTCATTCTACCAACTTCAATTAGACCTCCAATAGAATTTCTATTAGAATTGGACTTCTAATAATTAAAACACCTGAAGCACAAGAAAAATAAGTGTTTTTTGAATACAATAAGGTGGTTCACATATCAGTCTCACCATATAAGATGGTTCGCGTCCAATTTTGGAACTTATAATTTTTCTTTAAAAAAAAAAAAAGGGAAGAAGTTGTTTTTTGAATACAACTCCACGTCTCCACGTCATTAACAGCTACAGTACTTCGCATCCATTGATTACAAAACATGCCACATGAGCTATACGTTGGCCACGTCAACAATTCCATTACTATTATTAATATTTAACCGCTGTTCAGCGAGTGAAGGGTGAAATTATATATTCTAAAGTTCGATAATTAACTGGGTAATTTTTAAGCTTAGTGATCTACTGGAACTTTAAATAAAATTCAGTGATGATTCAGATCATTAACCTTACTATACACAATATAGTCTCTTCGAGTCTTCTAATCAAATATAAAGTTTTCTACACATGAGCTATACGTTGGCCACGTCAACAATTCCATTACTATTATTAATATTTAACCGCTGTTCAGCGAGTGAAGGGTGAAATTATATATTCTAAAGTTCGATAATTAACTGGGTAATTTTTAAGCTTAGTGATCTACTGGAACTTTAAATAAAATTCAGTGATGATTCAGATCATTAACCTTACTATACACAATATAGTCTCTTCGAGTCTTCTAATCAAATATAAAGTTTTCTTCATTGAAGGG